TCATATGTTTATCATTACAAGTGTATATGCAATTCGACCAAATATTAATCTTCCTTTGGGCCGACTAATACTCGCATGAATATACACAAACACTAACATTTAATATTTTTCACGAACTACCCAATTCAAGAGATGTTACTTTGGTAACTTCTTGACTCAATTTGCTCACAAAAAATATTAAATTACCAATCAAATTGAATATATTAATAAGGGTAACCTAAACCAAATTAAGTCTCAATTACCACTTCTAACCAAAATTTGTACTATAAAGTCATAATTTGTACTATAATGCCACGTATGGCTTTTTAATTAAGATAGCGAGTCCCACGACGTTAACATTATCATATTCTCTTGTTAATTAAGGCAGCGGGTCCCACGCACATCCTAAGGCCAATTCACCAACACTCGAAACCGTGGAGTTCCAAGTAACAACATCTTTAACAGGCATTGCATCAAACACGTTGCAGGTCTCATCAAGCTGACCTCTTTTTAGCAACCTTTTTAAGTAAATGTTCCAGGATGTGGGGTTCTTATGTGAAATATCGTCAAACACCTTTAGTGCATCATCAGTGTGACCTAGCTTTTTATTTATTATTGTTAATTATGGCCACATTGGACTGGTGGGGTCCACTTCTAAAAGCTTCTCCCTCATGCTGTTACCTTCAATATAATAAGGCTTCTGAATCATAGGTTTTCTGCCACTCCCTGATACAATGTACGCATTGGAATTTTTAGAATTTGTTCCATAACTAAGGCCACCATTACCCCACAAATTTCAGACAGATGATCAACATTTCAAACTTTTCCTCCCGTCTCAGTACAGGGGCATGATGCCCCAATTATAAATTTTCATCAAACAACTTTCTGGCAACCCCTTCACTTGCTTAACATGTGGTATTTGCACAATAAATTTTTCCTCTTGATCTAGATGGGCACAATCCGCCAGGCCAGCAGCAAAGAGGACCAACGTCGTTGCCTCAGAACCAAATTGAGAGCGATCGTGAGAAGCCATGACCCTGTACATGAACCAGAGGCCCAAGCCACCACTGTTCAAACCTCTCCGACGCTTCCCCATGCCGTCGCGAGCAACCCTGCGACTGTGTCCACCGCGAAACCACTGCCACCAATAGATCTCGCGGACCACCTACGTGAGGTCCCTTGCGAGAAGGCGAAACCATCGTTGATGGAGGAAGCCCGTCGTTACGATCGAAACACCGCTGCTGCAGAATGCACCTCCACAGACATGCAGAAAATCCAAAATACCAAGGTGCATTCACAGAAGGGGAAAAGGAATCGTTGTTGAATTGTGATCTGCTGTATGACGAATGCTTCGGAGCTATTACACCAGAAGGCATCGATTGGGACGAAATGCTCTCAATCTAGGGTTCAACACACAACTCCACGCTGCCGATTCTCTCCGTCACCACTACCATGTCCAACGCCTCCGTCACCACCCAGAGCGTGCATCTTAATTAGAATCAATGGGAGGAGGTACCGACGGTCTTTCGTAAATGACAGCCTTGATTCTTACTGAATTAGCCAAAACCATCAGGTGCAACAGGCCATAGGATAACCCATCACCGTGCCTTTAAACCCAGCAACTCCCTTTCCCAACCACACCGGAATACAGAATTGGGTTTTAAGAAACCCTAGGATTCTCAATTTTAGGGTTTTTAATTAGGGATTAAGGGTTTCATAACTTAATCTCAATTCTTAAATATTTTCTAAGAAAAAACATGAATCAAGTATGGGTTGCTCTGATACCAATTGTTAGGTAAACTGTAATTAAATATGATCTTCATTCTAATGATCAATCATATATCAATAATCCCATACTGTAAACATGTTATAAACTAAATGCGAAAGCGTACCTGAATTAGCCATAATGATGATATTCTTTGTAGAGTACCTTTGATTTGATCTTATGGTCTTCCACCTGAAGAGCACCTGTATTTCCCTGTGGATTTTCTCTCTTGATGGGGATAGAGAGAAAGGAACGGGATTGTAACTACGTTCGTCATGTGTGCTTCTCGAAGGGGACCATGACCCTTTATATAACCAAAATTAGGTTAATTACTTAAGTTTTAGTATTTTCAATTTGGCCCTCATCAAATTAGAAATTACTCAATGGTCTCTACACAATCATATTTTCATGACATATACCTTTAGCCAAAACTTTAATTTATTCAGATCACTTTATTATTTGGCTTAATAAATAATGACCCTAACACATTTAAATATGTATCATATATATACATGACCCAAAATTTGTCAACATAGATTTGTATACAGGTCATTTTTTTTTTTAATCTAGATAAATTTGTCTTTGACAGGCAAGTTGAAGTTCACAGTTTTATTTTAATATGGTTTCTTAGTATTGCATATTTTCTTTTATGTAATTTTCATTTTTGAATTCATGTTTTGTTAATGCTCTTTAGAAAGGGAAGCTTGTGCAAATAGGTCACAGGAACCTGCAACAATGTTCGAGGAAAGAATGATACAATAATAAGAAAAAATAAATAAAAAAGAGAGAGAGGACAAGACTTTTTAAACATATATACATGAAATCCTATTAAATAATTACAATGTAAGAAAAAAAGAGTGAAATAAATAGGAATAATTTCGGCATCTTCAAATTATGTTCTTATAAGAATGGTTCAGAAGTATTTTAATGTAAGTTTTATGTAAATGAGTTACTTAGGATTAGGAAAAATTGTTTATTTAAACAATTATTTTTAAGTTTTAAATAAATTTTATATATGAAATCCATCAAAAGTGATTTTTTATACTTAAATTATTTTTTTTAAATTAGATATGTTTTTAATGATGCGATAAAAATAGAATAATGTTAAAATATAATAAATCCATTTCACAATTCACTGGTGAATTATTAAAAAATATACTAAATAATTAAATAATTTTATTATTATTTTTAGATAAGAAGTTTAAAATATTTAGGTACGACAATGCATGTCGATTCGTGATACTTTCTCAATTATCCTATTTTTATTCTCGATTTTCTGTGAGATTAATTTTAGGTTTTTCTCCTTCACCTATATCCGTTTTATATTAATTTTTTAAAAATAATTATATATATAATAAATTAATATTATTATTTTTAGTGTATTTTTAATAAAAAATAAATATTTTTAATTTTTAATTATTATCATAAAATAAATTTTTATAATTTTTAATTATTATCATTAATTATATATATAGTTTATTATATTTAAATTAAAAATATATATATATATATATATATAAATTTAATATAAAATATTTATAATAATATTATTATTATTATAACATTATATTAAAATTTAATTATATATGTTAATTATTTTTAATATTATCATTTTAAAATATTTATATATATAAAAATATATAATTTATGAAAAAATATTTAATAAATTAATTTTTATTTAATTAGTTTAAAATGATATAAATTTTAATTATCAATTTTTTTAAGTATTAAAAATATAATTATTTTATTAAAGGCCAAAACTAAATTTTTAAATGAAGGACAAAATAAAGGTTAAAGAGAAATAAATACAACATTTTATATTTTAAATAAAGAATTACCTTTGAGAAATTCATATCATTATGTTAATGTATTTTTTATATTATATATAAAAATATCATAAATAAATAAATAAAAGTTTTTATATTAAATACCGATAATATTAGTTTAAGAAAATTGATACTATAGTGGTGTAGGGTTTGAGGCGTAACTTAATTTAATTTTATATTAAGAAATTAATCATATAAAATATAAATTTTAAATATTTTTTATTTTATTTTTATTTTTTAAAATCTAAAATAAATTAAATTAATATTTTATAATTTTGATTTGAATGATTTTTTATTATAAATTTATTAAATATATTATAATAAAATAATTATTTTATAAAAAATATATAAAATTATCTAATATTTATAATAATTTATTTTAATATGATGTCATTTTTAATTTAAAAATAATAATATATGTCATATGTTATAAAAGATTAATTGATTCAATTTAAAAAAATATTATTTTAAATTTTAATTTTAATAATATATATAATTTTGGTTTAAATTTATTTTTAGATTTTTTGAATTTTGAACATGTAATTTTTGCTATCAACATCCTGGGGTCAAACATATGTCTCAACCAACCAACCATCCTATGTTCAAACATGTGTTTCGTCTGTTTGGTGGAGCCTCATTTTCACACATTGTTTGTCTCATTTACTTTTTTTTTTTTTTTTTTTTTTTTTTTAAATTATCTCATTTATCTCTATCAACTACTGTCAGTATTATTAAATAATATTATAGATTAAAAAGAATTTCATGATGTGTATTTTATTTTTATTTACTTCTATCTTATGTATCATTCTTTTACACATTTTCTTATATTTTTAATATTTGGTTATAAAAGTTTAAGGAAATATTAGTAATGTAGCAATTTCAAACATATATTTTACTATTAACGAGTATTATTCATATTTTTATTTTAAATAAAATTTAAAAAAACACTACATTTACTTTTTCTATACAGAAACCTTTTCACAAATGTTTTTATTTTTTATTTTGTAAGATTCACACCAAATTAATTATATTTTTTTCTTTGTGAATATTGGAAAAGTGGATAAGTCATAAGTTGATAAGATAAACTTATACATCGACAATAATTAATTAATTAAAAAGTAATTCAATCATGGAGATAAAAATAATAATTTTTAAAATAATACAAATTAACAAATGTAATATTATGACTTAAATAAATATTTTTCTTAACTTTTATAATTAATTATAAACATATTATATATATATATATATATATATATATATATATATTAAAAATGGATGATGATAATAAAAATTATTTTACCGACTTTTCTTAACATTTAATGTCTGAATAATATTAATATTATTTTTAGTAATGATACATGTGGTATACCTCTGTCTTTTAATTTTCATTTTTCTTTTTAATTTAATCACTCTCTTATCATGGAAGAATGGAATATCACCTTTCTTCTGATACCAGTGAATGGGTTGAATTGAATGCTCATAAACTTCACCTCAACAACTTTGTGCTGCAGGGTATGTTGTACTACTGCTTTCCCAACTAAACTCGTCTTGGCACCCCGTCAAAGTGTAACCTTTCTTCAATTTCAACATGCTTTGCCGCTTTTGTGTCGGCCAGCTCGGGTCCTTACGGTGAAGAAATTGGTGACTTGCAATTCAGGGTCAAGCATGAGAAAATTCATGATTTTGCACCTTGTGACATGGATTTGGATGTGTGGTCTTGCTCACAGCACAAGTCCTGCCAGTGTGAACATTGGTGCGATTTTTGCTTTCGATTCTATCATAGGTAGAGTTGCGAAGGAAGCTATGGAAATGGCCGTTTCTGATGTCAATGAGGATCCCACAGTTCTCAAGGGAACCAAACTCAACTTGATAATGAAGGATGCCATGTGCAATGCTTTTCTGGGATCAATTGGAGGTGCCAACCTTGAACCTCATCAATTTTCTTGTTGTTGCTGGAGTTGCAAACTATTGAAATTCCTCCCCTTCAGCTGTTTTCTAAGTTTAGGCTTGAATTCAGTTAGTTTAACATGTTGACTTCTTAAGTTAATTGGAGGTGCCAACCTTGAACCTCATCAATTTTCTTGTTGTTGCTGGAGTTGCAAACTACTGAAATTCCTCCCCTTCAGCTGTTTTCTAAGTTTAGGCTTGAATTCAGTTAGTTTAACATGTTGACTTCTTAAGTTTAAATTCTCAGCCATCGGCAACTTTATATGTTTATTTTTATTTTATTTTTTTATGCGTATTAATCATGCCTGGTAATAGGCCTTTTTGATATCTTTATCTATGATGATTATATCATGTTTGGATTTTTAGTGACTGCTTATTTTATTCTAAGGTTACAGTTCATGTTGTTTCCTCATTTTGCTGCACTGGTTTTATTATTAACTCAAACTTAACTATATAAACTGACTGAGGAGTCTTGAACTTGGTAAAAACTCTTGAAACCTAAGCAAGCTAAGTCACATGTGAGGAAGCACTAGAATCTTTAGAAGTTAAAGACTCAGGCCTTTCTGGCCCTTTGATAATTTTGTAGTGGGATAAACTAGTTGCAGTGATCAGCCTGTGGTGTGAGCTAGTCTATGTGATGAAAGACTTATGTGCATTCTTAGGTTTGGTCTACTGCAGGACTTGGTCGAGGCTATGCATAAACATTGTCCATTAGATGTAAAACTTCCAAATTTAAACTTGGGGTTACTTGTACTTTACATTATCTTAATTGACTATTTTCTTTATACAGCTTTTCAGGTACTTGAGAAAGGGGTTGCAGCCATAATTGGTCCCCAGTCATCTGCCACAGCTCACACGGTTTCTCAAATAGCTGATGCCCTCCAAGTTCCTCTTGTTTCATATGCTGCCACTGATCCAACCCTGTCCTCCCTCCAGTTTCCGTTCTTTATTCGTACTACACAAAATGACTTGGCACAAATGACTGCAATGGCTGATTTAATTGACTTTAATGGATGGAAAGAGGTCATTGTTGTATTCTTAGATGATGATTATGGAAGAAATGGAGTATCTGCTTTGAGTGATGAACTTGAAAAACGGAAATTGAAAATTTCTTATAAACTGCCTTTGAGTATTAAGTTCGATCAGCATGAAATCACCAACATACTCAATCAATCCAAATTGTTTGGTCCTCGTGTGTATGTTGTTCATGTAAACCCTGACCCGAGGTTGAGAATTTTTTCTATTGCCCATAAACTTCAAATGATGGCCAAGGATTATGTCTGGCTTGTCACGGATTGGCTCTCAGTTACACTAGGTTCATTATCCCCAGTGAATCAGACCTCTTTCAATGTTCTCCAAGGGGTTGTTGGTCTTCGTCAACACATTCCGGATTCCAGAAAAAGGAAAGCTTTTGTTTCTCAGTGGATAAAAAGGAAAAAAGGAGGATTACCAAATAATAGTTTGAACTCCTATGGATTTTCTGCTTACGACACTGTTTGGGCAGTTGCACTTTCAATTGATAAATTCATTAAAGAATATAATAATATTACCTTCTTGCTTCATGATAACTCTACGCTATCTCATACAGAAGGAATGGGTATTCAGCTTGACAAACTCAAAATCTTCACTGGTGGATCTGATCTGGTCAACATATTATTAAAATCTAATTTTACTGGTGTGAGTGGTCAAGTTCTGTTTAATTCTGACAGAAATATTGTAAGTGGTGGTTATGATATTATCAATGTCAATCAGATGGGAATTACTAGAGTTGGTTTTTGGTCTAATTATTCAGGATTTTCAGTTGTGCCCCCTGATGCTCTTAAAAAAAAGGAACACAGCAGGTTTTCCAAAGATCAGAAGCTTGACAACATTACCTGGCCAGGAGGAAAGACAGATCGACCTCGTGGCTGGGTGATTGCTGATAATTCCAAGCCACTGAGAATAGGAGTTCCAAAAAGAGCAAGTTTTGTTGAATTTGTAACTGAACTGCCAGATAGTCATAAAATTCAGGGATATTGCATCGATGTGTTCAAGAAAGCCCTAGAATTTATCCCATATGAAGTTCCCTTTGTATTCAAGCCTTTCGGGAATGGTAAAGCAAATCCCAACTATGATGCGCTTGTGAAAATGGTTGCTGATAATGTAAGTGATACACTTAATGCAAAAGGAAACATTCTCAACATTGGTTAACTCATGTTTATCTACTAAAAACTGGTTGATAATTGTTTTTATAAGTTGACAGACAGTGTTTTACTATAAAAATAGCTATGCTATACGTAAAAGTTCAGATGGATGAGAAAAATATTATGTTTTAGCTTACTCAACAGTTTGTACAAATTTACCTTTCGTTTCTTCTTTTATATTTATTTTGGGTAGAATAGCAGTGAGAAAAGAAGGGAACAGAAATTTGAAAAGTTTGTAATGGGCATTGATTTATCCAATATAAGATAATTCCTAGGTGCTTATTTTCAGTGGCTGCTTTACATTTATTACTTTTTGAGTGTTAATTTTTTTAACCATGTAATACTTGAAAATTGTTTAGTTATATGATGCTGTTGTTGGAGACATTGCTATTGTGACAAACCGAACAAAGATTGTAGATTTTTCTCAACCTTTTGCATCATCTAGCCTTGTCATAGTGGCTCCTATCAACAAAGCAGGATCAAGTGCTTGGGTATTCCTCCAACCATTTACAGCAGATATGTGGTGTGCTACTGCTGCCTCATTTTTGGTGGTTGGAATTGTTATATGGATTCTTGAGCACCGAGTCAATAATGACTTCCGTGGACCTCCTAAAAAGCAACTTGTGACAATGTTAATGTGAGCCTTCTAGCATGATATGAGTACCTTTTACACTCAGTTTATAGAATTTGATGCAGCAATAAGTGCCCCATTCTTGATCTTTTGTTTTAGATTCTAACTCCATGCTGTCATTGTTTTTCAGGTTCAGCCTCTCAACCTTGTTTAAGAAAAACCGTAAGCAAACATTTGGCTCCAAATTATAATAGTTCCTTTGTTTTCTTTTTCTTTCTCAAGGTCATCATATAATTTACTCTTTCTAAAATCCTTGGGTTCAATGTGTCAACCAAATAATATGTCAGCTAATATCCATTGCTCCCTCTCTTTTTGCAAGTTTTAGTTGTAACTCTGTGTGTGTGAAAATCTTAATTCTGCGTGTGCTTTTATCATTCAATATCAGTCTTGCACAAAGTACATTTTTGTAACATCTGCAAATTTAACAGTATTGCCATGACTACTAGACCATCGACAACTTTTACTTATGGTATGCACACTGATTGTATCATTCTCCGTTGGCAGCTTTTCATCCATTTGCACTATACCGTGTAGTTTAATGTAAAATCAACAAAGGAAAACAGGACTGGTTATGAATCTTTTTTCTGTCATTCAGGATTATAATGGTGAGGAATGATGTTTGTAGCATCTTTATTATGCTTTCTGATAATCTTTCATTTTGTCACGGAATCAGAGGAAGATACAGTAAGCTCCCTTTCTAAAATGGTGATGATAGTCTGGCTTTTTCTATTGATGGTGATCACGGCTAGCTATACAGCAAGCTTGACTTCAATTCTTACAGTGGAGCAGCTTTCATCGCCCATCACAGGAATTGATAGCTTGATTGCAAGTAATTGGCCTATTGGATACCAAGTAGGATCATTTGCTTACAGCTATCTGGCGGATAATCTTTATGTATCAAAATCAAGACTTGTTTCACTAGGCTCCCCTGAGGAATATGCTTTAGCTCTGCGGAAGGGACCATCTGGTGGAGGGGTGGCAGCCATCGTCGATGAGCTTCCATATGTTGAGTTATTTCTGTCAAAAGAAACTGATTTTGGTATCATCGGACGGCCATTCGCCAGAAGCAGTTGGGGATTTGTAAGTGGCCATCTAACTAGAATATTAAAGTGACATATATTATAGTATACAGCATTAAAATGAAATGCTCCAGATTATAGTGATAATATAGATTGTATAAACAACTTCGTAGTATCTTTTAACCAGACAAAAATAGATGTTTTTTAATGAGTAAACGTATAACTAGAAAGGTTTTGTCCAATATATGATTTTCTAAATTCTTAGAACTTCATTTTGAAACAATGGCATATCTTTGTTATCCATCTTTTATGATTCAATGCATTGCTGGATATGGCATGTAGGGCTTGCTCATACAACAATCCATAATTGCATTTTTGGTCACTTGATTTGGAACAGGGGGCATCATAAAAATTATCTGTTATTTTAGTTATGTTCTATAGTATATTTGGCATTTCCTGACATTTTGTAACAATAAATCAGGCTTTTCAAAGAGAATCTCCTTTTGCCTATGACATGTCTACAGCAATTTTGAAACTTTCCGAGAATGGAGATCTTCGTAAGATACATGAGCAGTGGTTCTGTAAAATGGGCTGTCCTGGACAAAGGACAAGCAACTCCAAGCCTGCACAGCTTCACTTGGTTAGCTTTTGGGGCCTGTATCTCTCATGTGGTGTTGTCTCTCTCGCTGCACTTGTACTGTTTCTGCTACGAATGATTCGGCAATACGCTCGCTTCAAACAAAAGCAAAAGGATATTGCTTCTTCATCCTCAGAACAACCATCAGGCATTCATTGTTCCCAGGTTGTTGTTAACTTCTTTAACTTCATTGATGAGAAGGAAGAGGCCATCAAGAAAATGTTCACTCCAAGTGACAATCATGACAACCCCAACTGAGATGATGTAGTTGTGTTGGAAAAGGGCTCAACTTTGTAGGTTTCAATAATCTACTGTCATTCGGGTTATTTGCTTAAGATGTTTATATGATACCTGATGGCAATATAGTCTTAGTATTAGTGACAAATAGTGATAGTCCTGTATATTATTTGTAGTACTAGGTTTTTATTCTATCACGTAATCTCTATAGTCATAGAAGTGCTGCTGCTTAAGATGGTTTACTCATATCAATTGTAATATGATGTGCAATTTGAGTGGTAATGACTATGTTTTGGCAGCTGCTATCCCATTACTAGTTAGTAATTCGATGAATCAAACTGTAATGATTTGATCCTTCTCAGTTTCTTACAAAAATTTCTGTTGAAAACTTTAAATTGTGGCTAGTGATCTAAAAATTGAAGTTAACCTCCCTAGCTAAAAAGACCTTAAGAGCATGATGTACTTCCAGCATATATCAATTGTCTGGTTACTTTAGTATTCAAAAATCAATTTTCACACATTCTGATGAAAAATGCATCTTCCAATATAAAGTTGTTGTTAGATTAATTTAGAATACCTTGTAATGATTGTAGTAGTTTAGTTGTTAATTTTATATTTAATTTTGAAACAGATGAACCAGGACTTCCAAACAGTCAAACTTAGTATCAAGCATGACTGTGTGGGAATCTTGGGGCAACAGCAAACGCTGTGCAATTATGAACTTATCTGGGAAAGTTAACAACTGCATGAGTCCCCACCAGACTTTCAATCTTTTAGTTCTGCCTTTTTTTTGACAAAACAACTTTGTTCCTCTTTTTCCCCTTTCTCAAATAATAATGTGTCTCCCACTTATGACATATTACCTTCTACTAGTTTAACTTTTTCTTACCTAACTCCTCATGACTCTAACTAACAATAGCATCTCATTATAAGTAGACAAATGTGATTAACTTTTAATAGTCAAAAGAACTTCTACCCTATTGTAGTCCTTCAAGGTCACATCATGGACATACTTGTAAAGTCACGATTTTGTATTAAAAAGCACTTTAATTAAAAGAATAAGATGTATATAAATTATTTTATACCTTCACTCTCAATCTATAAGAGACTTATGAACATATCATATCATACTCAACGAAGGTGAAGAATAAAAGATATATAAATTACATAAATTTAACTGGTGGTGAGCTATAACTAAATTTCTAAAAACAAGGATTTTTCCTCTCTGTAACTTAATGTCATCTATAATTAATTTTTCTATCGATAGTTTTAAATACATCAACAATATTAATTCTATATATATATATATATATATATATATATATATATATATATATATATATATATATATATATATATATATATATAAACTTCATTTTATTTTCTGAAATTCACAAAGTTAACAACAGAAGTTCAAAATAAATTATTGCATGGAACCTGCCCTCGTCATTTTCAGCTTTCTTTCTTTCAGTTCTTATGGCCTTAGCGAATGCACAAATCAACTTTACTTAAAAAAGCAGAGACATTACACAAAAATATCTTCTAATCGAACAAGCAGATGAAAAAGAAAAAGATTCCCCAGATTAGAAACCCATTGGCACGAGTAACTGTCATTATTTCAATTTTTTTTTTTTACAATAATCACTTTTAAAGAAATTATTGTTTTTAAAAGCTTCCTGAAGAAGATTTTGATTATAACTATTTTGAAGATGGAAATAAGTTAATTAATTATAAGCTTAATTATTGGTTAACTTTAACAATCCATATAAACATTGGATCGGTGCGTGCCCAACTAGGGCACAAAGTTTTAGGAATCAATTCCTTAATTAAAATATTAAACATTTCTTATGAGGCAAGACATGTTTCTAAAGTTCATCCAAAATTTATTAAAGGAGAATACATTCAAAAGGTTAGAGTAAGATATTTATATTTAACAGAATTTTTTTTTATTACAATATTCTCTTGAAAATGTATAAAGTGAGTAGATATTTTACATTGAATAAAAAAAATTATATAACTTATAAGTAAAAATACACATAATTTAATAACTTAATATTTTGTGTTAATTGTGGTGTTATGTTTTCTTATTTAATTGATTAATATCTGGTTTTGTGAGAATTTGAAGTTCTCGTTGTAAAATATTAAATAGTTATATAGAGAGTTAAATGTTTTTTTTTATTAAATAACATATCATATTTCGTTACATGGTTAACATGTTAACCCCTCAAAAATACAACAAAACATGTTTGATTTAATTCTATTTTTAATTTTTTAAAAGAATTTAATTGAAAACTGTTTTTGAAAATAAATTAAAACATGTAAAATAGATAAGTATGAAAGAGTTGTTAAATGAACTTTGCCATGTAAACGGGTCTCACATCATCCATCCACTAGAGCCAAGCATTGACTAAATGGGGAATTGTTATTTTAATTACAATAATTATATTTAGTCAAAGATAGTGAAGATAACGTGGCCATAATGAAAGAAAAAATAATACATAGATTCTTTTCGCAGTTACCTAAAATATAGTTTGCAATTCATTGGCTTTAGAAGTCAATTATGTTTTTTTTTCTTTTAAAAATATTGTCCCAACTCAACACATTTCAATGCATCGAGTTTGAAATTTATAGTGTCAATTTCATGTTCCATAATTATATACTTTTATCGTTATTGAAGTTAATTAAACTTTGAGAACGTCGCTAAAATAAATAGTTTTATTAAAAATATATAAGATCTGACTGATGGGATGACACTAATTCCATTATATAATCGTTTTTTTTTTATTTAAACAAAACCAATTATAATTTAGTTTGGTTACTGAATTTATTTTAAAGGCTTGATTTAATTAATATATTTTAAACTTTAGAATATTACTTTTATTATATTTATATATTTATTTTTTCATTCATCTTGTTTCTTTATCATTTTATTTATAGTTATCAGGTATTTTAATTTGGCCATTTTTTTATGTAATTAATTATATTTTAGGTAAATAATAAAATATGTAAGTGATATTCTCGGTCATTGTTAAATTTTTTTGAAATATTAATTTTTTAAAATTCTAATTTATCTCAATTTTGTTTTTAGAAAATATTTTAATGAGTTAATATATATATATATATATATATATATATATAAATTATTATTAAACAAGTGACGTGATTTATGATTCCATTAAAAAAATAGATATAAAAAAAATATTTTATTGACATAAAATTGAATATTTATACACTAAACAAAAACAAGAAAACTTAAAATTTATAAATATTTATTTTTAACATAATTGAAAAACTCAATCCAAACCAATTTCATTTTATTTTATTTAGGTTGAAAAAAATTATACATAACAAATTAATCAATGAAATTGGTTTATTTTACTTTATTTTAGACATAAATCAATTTAATCTCTTACCATTCCTAAGTAACGGATATTTATTTTCTGCTAAAGAAACATAAATCAATTTATCTGATATTTATTAGCATGTCAGAAACTCAGACCATCTTCAGTGATAGAATTTATTTTAAATTCTTAAAATATTTTTTAACATCCCACAATATCTTATTTTTAAGATTTGTGTTTTTTAGAATAAAATTTAAATAAAAATTAAATCTTTATTATATGAACCTGTATAAGAATTTCCAATTGGTTAAATAAAAGTTCATAAAAAAAAAGAAATTAATGCACCGAAAAAGTAACTGGATATTGAAATACTTCAACCTTTTCATTTATGAGTCCGCAGTTGCTTTTGCAAAACCTAATTTCAAATTTCTTACAATTGTTGGATAATAAATTTCCAGTATAAATCAATTTCTACTTTGACTCTGTGCATAAAATAGTGAAAAATCACTGACAGAAGACAAAACGAAAGTTGATAGAAATTAAAAGATAATTCTATAAACTACAGACATTCCAAATTTTTTGAATTGATTATTAATAGAATATTTATTTTTACATTATCATTTATTCAAGATTTTTATAGCATTCACAATTAAATAAAATTGAAATGCAATTTTTTCCTCCCGGAAAAACACTGATTGTCCTTATAATTTTGTCATATTCTTGACTGTGTCGGGTCACACATGTGCACTAAAATATAACTAGTGATATTTTCACCATTAACTCTTTAAATAATTCATTTTTATTAATATAATAAATTTATAGACTGATTTAATAAAAATAAAAATAAAATAAAATTATTATTATAATATTAAAATAGAATTTTTTAAAAAAATTATATGAATTTAGGTTGTAAAAGTATATTTTTTTCTATAATATTACCTCATATAAATAATTGTCGTTGATGTAATTATCTTTCTAGCTATGCCGTCATCATCACATGAACATTATCGTGACGCTTTTTCTCAATAAAAAAAAAAAAAAAATTGTGATTCACGAAATATCATGCTAATAACTCAGTCACACGAGAAGACAAAGATTTTGTGACACACTTGATGAAATTAACTTGGAGAGAAGACAATGCTTGATTCTCTAGCTAGACTCCAGAGGACTATGATTCTTTGCTTTCAGCATGAAACACGATAGCTTCCTTCTTTTGGGTAGTGAAGTGGGAAGTTTCAATCTTCAATCACATGCTCCACAGCCATCATATATAAAATGTCTTCAAAACTGTTGCAACGTGGGAAGCTTTCATACATTAAGTTTGGTGTTGTGGTAAGATAATCCCATTTCCCTATTTGATCTCGTGTTTTCTCTTGCATCATATTATATTATAATGCAATGATTTTGTTTCTTTGTTAATATTCTCAATACTCTAGGCATGTAGGTCATGACATCAACTTATTTATATGGTTCAGTGGTAGTTTTCACCTTAGAATTTCTGACCTTGATTTGCTCATTATAAATTTAATAAAATAAGAGTATCTGGATACGATAACAGCATATTTTATTTGCATCTGGGTAAGTGAATATCTGAATTTTAAAATCCAAATTGCTGATAGTACCATATGGCTTGTTCCTGTTGGGTGCTTGAATCTAGTCTTGTGTTGTGGGGTTTTTTTTCTGTTTTCTTCAGGAACACGAACGGTGTGATTTTAACTTTTTAAGGCCAAAAGATTTTGGTCTTAGGCTACTTCCAGCTACGGTGATTCTTGCCTTATCATGTGTGTCTTTGTGCTCCTGCTGATGAAGTGCTTGGCACATGACAGGTTGATGCTGCTTTAAACTGAAGAACTCAAAAGGTTTTTCTCACAAATGGAGGTGATGTGGGTCACAAGTCATGCAAGAAATTTTGTGGGGAGAGCGTTGTTTCTCTTGGTTTTGTTCTTGTGGATTCCTTCACAGGTGGTGGTGGGAAGGACAAGAACTACTATCACAAACTCTACCACTTCTTCGACACCAAGAGTTTTGAGAGTTGGAGCACTGTTCACTGTTAATTCTATAATTGGAAGATCGGCTAAACCTGCAATCATTGCTGCTTTCGAAGATGTTAATGCTGATTCAAGCGTTCTCCCCGGCATTAAACTGGAAGTTTCTTTGCATGATACAAATTGCAGTGGGTTTGCTGGAACAATGGAAGGTAATTGTCAAAACTTGAATTTATGAAGCTCTACCAAGATGCTGTTTCTTTTTTCAATTGAGGCCTTGTGTTTTAGGAGTATATTTATTTTCAAATTAGAGATCTTGATTTTGTCTTTTGCCTTTTCATTGCTTGGTGCTTGTTTAGATTAATTTATGCGATCATCTTTTTTACTTAAAAAGAAGATTATTTCTTCAAAATTAAGGGTTAGTAAACATGCTCTTAGGATTCAGGCAATATGAATAGAACTTCCTGTCCACGTGGACCGCTTCTTCAAATGGTATGTTTCATTCTGTGTATAAACCATGTTCAATTTTGTAACTTTATGAATTGTCATGTTTGAGTGTCTTTCATTTCAAGGTTATCATTCAGTTTCTTCCTCAATAGCTTGGCTTTCTTATCATTCTTGCTAAATCATGTTCTGCTAGGCAGTACTGTGTGTTTCATTGCATGTGAAATGTCTTATGCTTCTTATCTTGTTGCTGTGGAACTACACTAGGTTCCAAATACATCAAGGTATACATAATATCCTATTTGTGTCAGCACCGTTGGGTATAGCCAATCATTTAGAGAACAGAATCCTGGATTTTGAACAAAAGACTAGGTTGAATAAGTTTCTCAATTAAACTTCTCTCATAAATTAAAATCAACTTATGTACTTCTACCTTTTTTTAGGATGTTCCAAAAGGTGAGGTGTAGACGTTGATTTTAATTTATGGGAAAAAATGAGTCATTTTACTTTATATTTTCTCCAATAAGTGTTTGTGAGAAGTTTATCCAAACTGATCTTAATTCCAGTGCATTGGGTTCATATTATGCCACTTGCATAGATAATGGGAAAGTATTTAGAGAAGAATTGTTGAAGACTATATTTGCACATTCCCTCTTATAGCCCCCTCTCTTGCATATGTGTGAATTAGAAGTGAACAAGGTTCATTGATTTTTCTTGATAATGTATGTAGCTTTGCAGTTGATGGAGGATGAAGTGATTGCAGCTATTGGTCCTCAGTCCTCAGGAATAGCCCATGTCATCTCTCATGTGGTCAACGAACTCCATGTCCCTCTTGTTTCATTTGGGGCAACAGACCCTTCTCTATCTTCCCTTCAGTACCCTTATTTTGTTCGCAGCACCCAGAGTGACTATTATCAGATGTATGCAATTGCAGATTTGGTAGATTACTACAGATGGAGGGAGATAATAGCCATTTATGTAGATGATGATAATGGAAGAAATGGAATTTCAGTACTTGGAGATGCTCTGGCAAAAAAACGTGCCAAGATCTCTTACAAGGCTGCATTCCCTCCTGGTTCCCCCAAGAAAGACATCAGTGACTTGTTAAATGGAGTGAACTTGATGGAATCACGGGTCTTTGTTTTGCATGTTAATCCTGAAACTGGTTTGAACATTTTTGGTATTGCTGACAAGCTAGGAATGATGAACAGTGGTTATGTATGGATTGCAACAGATTCGTTGGCTTCAGCACTTGATTCATTGGAGCCAGTTGATCCAAAAACAATGAATCTCCTACAGGGGGTTTTGGCTTTACGTCATCACACTCCCGATACTATTGAAAAGAAGAATTTTCTCTCCAGGATGAAGAGACTAAGAATCACAGAGACCCCAAGTTTCAATTCCTATGCATTGTATGCATATGATACCGTTTGGTTAGTAGCCCGTGCTCTTGATGCTTTTTTAAAACAAGGTGGTGTGGTATCTTTCTCCTCTGACCCTATGTTGCGTGACACAAATGGAAGCGTGCTGCATTTAGAATCGCTTCGCGTTTTTGATAATGGCCCTACTTTTCTCCAAACAATTTTGAGAACCAACTACACAGGTCTGACTGGTCTAGTTCAGTTTGATAATGACAGGAATAGAATTCATCCAGCATATGATATCTTGAACATTGGTGGATCTGGAATGCGTAGAATTGGTTACTGGTCTAATTACTCAGGTCTCTCAGTTGTGGCTCCAGAAATTTTGTATAAGAAGCCACCTAACACTTCAACGAGCAGCCAGCAACTGCATGATGTTATATGGCCTGGAGAAACTGCAGTTAAACCAAGAGGGTGGGTGTTCCCCAATAATGGAAAGCCATTGAGAATTGCAGTGCCTAATCGAGTAAGCTACTTGGAGTTTGTTTCTAAAGACAAGAACCCCCCTGGAGTAAGAGGCTATTGCATTGATGTCTTTGAAGCTGCCATAAGCTTGTTGCCTTATCCTGTCCCGCGTGAATACATATTATTTGGACCTGGTAATAGAAATCCTAGTTATGATGACCTTGCAAGTCAAGTTGCACTAAATGTAAGGTTCTAAACATACTTAACACCCTAATTGGCTGTAATATGGTTTCCAATTGTCTATAGTTTTGGCATGTATCTAGATTGTAGAATACTATTTTTGTGTTTCCAAGGTTGGATGAGGTCTCTTCAGATTCTAGTAGTTATGTTAATTTGGCCTTTTACTTCTTCAGAACTATGATGCAGCCGTTGGTGATGTTACAATTGTCCCCAACAGGACAAGGTTTTTGGATTTTACTCAACCTTACATGGAGTCAGGCCTGGTTGTTGTTGTTCCTGTCAAGGAGATCAAATCAAGTCCTTGGTCTTTCCTCAAGCCCTTCACTGCTCAAATGTGGTGTGTTACTGGTGCCTTTTTTATCTTTGTGGGAACCGTTGTATGGATTCTTGAGCACCGGCACAATCCCGAGTTCCGTGGTAGACCAAAGAAACAACTCATGACGGTCTTTTGGTTAGTATATTCTGACCATTTGATGGCCTTTTAGCTCAATCTTTTGAAATGACAAAAGGTGGCTTTGACATTGCATCCATTATTTATCATAACATATTGCAACCGCAGAATAGAATCATATGGGAGTGTAATTTGTAAGTTAGAGTTGAGATTAATATATGATTTCATATCTTCCTCTAGTTTCATTTCTTATGTAAGGATGTCTTGGAATAAATGAGTCTCTTTCTGAATTTCCAACCCCAGCATAGCATGCCTAGTACTAGGAGATGCACGGTTTACTTTAACATTTGCTGAGATAAGTTCCTCTTTTGCAGGTTTAGTTTTTCAACAATGTTCTTCTCACACAGTACGTACCCTCAGATTCTCATTCACATAACGTCAATTTTGGCTTGTGACAGTCCTTGTTCTGTGTGACACATGGTAAACGTTGTCGTGACTCACTTTGCTGTTTTCACCTGTTGCAGGAGAGAACACAGTGAGTGGTCTAGGGAGATTAGTTCTAATCATATGGCTTTTTGTGGTGTTAATCATCAATTCTAGCTACACAGCTAGCTTAACATCCATCCTCACAGTGCAGCAACTGTCATCACAAATTGAAGGAATTGACAGCTTGATCTCAAGTAATCAACCAATTGGAATTCAAGAAGGGTCATTTGCACGGAAGTATTTGACAGAAGAACTCAATATACAACCATCAAGGATAGTTACATTGAAAAATATGGAGGCATATGTTGATGCCCTTGAGCGTGGACCAAAAGATGGAGGGGTTATGGCTGTTGTTGATGAGCTTCCTTATATTGAAATCTTAATGTCAAGTTCCAACTGTAAGTTCAGAACCGTTGGGCAGGAATTCACTAAAAGTGGTTGGGGATTTGTAAGTATCTTTATTTTCACGTCTTTACATTCCTAGATGTTCATCGATAACCTCTTTTTTTTTGTAACTATTGTTACTCTTACTATGAGTATGCTTGTTAAGTTTAGACCTTACACAACACTAATATTCTTCTCCTATTTGATACCCTGATGATGACAGGCATTCCAGAGGGACTCTCCCCTTGCTGTTGATATGTCAACTGCCATTCTTCAACTCTCAGAGAATGGTGACCTGCAAAAGATCCATGACAAATGGCTCTTACAACATGACTGTTCTACACAAGATAGTAATGTTGACATAAATAAACTTTCTCTAAGTTGCTTCTGGGGCCTCTTTCTTATATGTGGCATTGCATGTATCCTTGCTTTGATCGCATTCTTCATTAGAGTGCTATGTCAATACACAAAATTCAGCCCAGAACGTGAGCAACATGATGAGGAAATTTCACCAGACAGACCCAAAGGTAAAAGGCCTTTCCGAACCACTGCTAGCTTCAGAGACTTGATGTATTTTGTGGATAAGAAAGAAAAAGAAATCAAAGAGATACTTAGGCAAAAGAGTAAGAAAAGGAGACGCAGTCTGAGCTCAGATGGCCAATCTAGTTCATCCGCCTAAGTATCCATGTATATTTTTGTAGTCTCTTCTTTTACTTCTCTTGTTTAGGCCGTTCCATAATAACAGTAGTGACACAAATTTGTCAGCATTGAAATATTTAAATTTCTACCTTCATGGATAGGGAACTGTGCCTGTGAGATTGCTAGCATAAAGAGAAAAAATATACACTAGATTTAGACAAATGTACCTTCATACAGAACAGTTTTTAGTCTCAACTAAGAGTTGTTCATGAATAAGAGGTATTTCATGCACAGTACATCCTCAATGAATTACCATTTTATTTGCTTAAGGTGACAGTCTTATTTTGTAAAGTGAATTTTATCAATGACCAGGGTTCATTATTCAATGCAAGTTCCCAAAGTAAAACTTGGTTAATTCACTTTTTTTGGTGAATTAAAAATACACCTCTAAACTCAACCTATTAGGGTTATTGGATTAAATGAGTTAGTTTACGCATTGATTGACCAAGTTAATATATATAACAAGTTCAATTAACACCACAACAATAAACCAGATAAATAAGAAAAACGAAAAATAAATTAAAAAATTTGGAAAATGAGAACATATTAACCTGCATTGTCCCAATTTACCTAGATTGACTCACCTACAAACTATGTAAAAAAAAACTGTAATCCTATTAAATCTAGTTGAATCAGATTGACCAAGAGGTAAACTCACTTTAACATCTTTGTACATTATTTATAAATTCAACATTGATACTCACAAAGTGAATGTTTGTGTTGCAATATTTTCCACTTGACATTATCACATAGATTTAAGCATCTTACACAAATTTAATCAAAAACAAGATTATTAATTTAATGGATATAGTATTTAATCTACATATTCTAGAAGTATTTTCTTCGTAGATTTTTTGTTAGGTAAACATTAAATGCATGTAGTTGAGAGGTAGTGGTTATAGAGGTAGTAGTTGAGAGGTAGTAGTTGTATTGAATATATGTAGTTGAAAGGTAGTAGTTGTATTAAATGCATGTAGTTGAGAGGCCATATCCAAAGGCCTATAAATTGACCATGTACCACTCATTGTAAAACACATCAAGTCATAATATACAGAGTGCTTTATTTAGATACTTGTTTGTCAACAAATTGGTATCAGAGCTTGAGAGCCTGAGTGTCTGAGTGCGTTAGAAAGAGTGTTTGAGAGTTAGAGAGTTTGTTCAAGATGACCAACTTAACTAATAGCATGCCCCTGCCAAAGTTATCAAAAGGCATAAGCTATGATAACTGGAGCCTGCAAATGAAGGCTCTCCTTGGTTCCCAAGAAGTATGGGATGTGGTCGAAAATGGGCACCAAGAACCAGAGAATATTGAAGAGCAGACGATTGCTCAGCTTGCTGCATGGAGAGCAACACGAGTAAAGGACAAAACGGCTTTGTACGGACTGTACCGAGCTGTTGATGAGTTCGGCTTTGAGAAGATAGCAAATGTTAAATCTTCAAAAGAAGCGTGGGATATTCTGGAGAAGGCAAATAAAGGGGATAATCGCGTGAAGCAAGTTAGGCTTCAAACTCTTAGAGGCGAGCTTGAAAGCATGAGGATGAAAGAGGTCGAAGGGGTTGCCGAGTACATCTCCCGTGTTGAGACCGTGGTGAATCAACTCGGAAGAAATGGAGAGGCGTTGCCCACTTGCTGAGTGGTGGAGAAAATCTTAAGGTCGTTAACTGACGACTTTGAGAATATCGTTTGTGCAATAGAAGAGTCCAAGGACTTGTTGGTGCTCTCGGTGGAAGAGCTTGTCGGGTCGCTTGAAGCGCATGAGCAGCGGAGAAGGAAGAAGAAAGAGGAGTCCTTAATCAAGCACTCCAAGCAAAGGCAACCTTAAAGGAGAAGAAGGTTTCTTATGCTCAGAACACTCAAGGCCGAGGTGGTAGAGGCAGAGGAGAATATGAAAAAGGCAAGGAGCTAGTCAGTCAACAAAACTGGCATGGCCGAAGACAAGGTAGAGGTCGTGACGGTAGAGGCCGAGGTGGTCAGTCAAGCAATTCCGGAGTTGAGTGCTTCAAATGTGGGAAGTACGGTCATTTTGCTAAGGACTGTTATTCAGGTATCAAATGTTATAATTGTGGGAAGGTTTGACATTTCGCGAAGGACTGCCGATTTGAGAGGAAGAAGGAGACAAATCTCCTCTCTGAGGACGCTGAGGAAGAAGGAGTATTGATGATGTCGAGATGTTCGGATGTCGAGCTAAGTTCGAGTTGTTCTGACAACTCGGTTTGGTATCTTGATAGAGCAAGTAACTACATGTGCGGGGACGAGAACCTTTTTAAGGAGCTCACTAAAGTTGAGACCGGACACGTGTCATTTGGAGATGCATCAAAGGTGGCAGTAAAAGGCAGAGGTACAATCTGGTACCTGTAGAAGAATAGCCGAGTTGGAGAAATCAGAGATGTGTACTATGTACCCGATCTCAAAAGCAACATATTGAGCATGGGCCAGTTGATGGAGAAAGGCTACTTGGTTCTGATGAAAGACCGAGTACTATACCTGAAGGACAAGTCAGATCGTTTGATTGCCCGAGTAGAAATGAAGAAGAACAGAATGTTCAAACTGGATTTGAAGATAGTCCAAGAGAGGTGCTTGAAACTTGACGTGAAGGATGAAGCAATGATGTGGCACTTTCGGTTTGGCCACTTGCATTTTTGGCGGGCTGACCGAGTTGGTAAAGAAAGAGATGGTGCGAGGACTCCCGTCTATGGAATTTGAAAAGATTCTGTGAAGAGTGTTTGCTCGGGAAGCATCCGAGGACCTCATTTCCGAGGACGACCGAGTACCGTGCAAAGGAACAACTCGGATTGATTCACACAGATCTTTGTGGACCGATTACCCCTAAGTCTTTCAGTGGAAAAAGGTATTTCATTTCTTTTATAGATAATTTTTCAAGAAAAACCTGGGTATATTTTTTGAAGGAGAAATCTGAGGTGTTTAAGGTGTTCAAGAGATTTAAAGCAATGGTTGAGAAAGAGACTGACATGCCTATCAAATCTGTTAGGTCTGATCGAGGAGGCGAGTTCATTTCATCCGAACTCATGAAGTATTGCGAGGAGCAAGGGATAAGGAGATTTCTAACAGCACCATACTCACCTCAACAAAACGGAGTTGCCGAGAGGAAGAATCAAACCATTCTTGACATGGTTCGAACAATGTTGAGAAGCAAAAACGTGCCAAAGGAGTTCTGGGCAGAAGCAATGCAATGTGCCATCTATGTGCAAAATAGATGTCCACATGCTAAGCTAAACGAGAGACACCACAAGAAGTCTCGAGTGGAAGAAAACCGAGTGTGTCTCACCTTAAAGTGTTCGGTAGCATAGCTTATGGTCATGTTTCAGCTCAACAGAAGACCAAGCTCGAAGATAAAAACAAAAAGTATGTGTTTATTGGGTATGATGAAAAAACCAAGACGTACAGGTTGTTTAACCCAATAAGTAAGAAAGTCATAATGAGCCGAGATGTTCAAATTGATGAAGAAAGCGAGTGGAGTTGGAAAAACCCGGAGAAGGAGTCCATAGGAAGTAGAAGCTCGGAAGTTGATACACCACATACTGTGAGAGATCATGAGACTTCTGATGAAGAAGATGAACATCTACAACCCAGAGTGCGAAGTTTACAAGATATATACAACTCCACTGACGAAGTGCATGTTGTATGTCTCTTGGCAGATTCAGAAGACTTAAGTTTTGAAGAGACGTGCAGGAGAAAAGGTGGAAAAATGCAATGGACGAGGAGATCGGGGCAATAGAACGCAACAACATATGGGAGCTTACTGATTTGCCCAAAGGAACGCGGCTTATCGGCATAAGGTGGGTATACACGAAAAAGACAAATGCTGAAGGAGAAGTTGAACGATATAAAGCTCGACTCGTAGTGAAGGGGTACAAGCAGAAGGAAGGAATAGACTATGACGAAGTATTCGCCCCAGTGACGAGAATGGAAACAATTAGGCTGCTGATTTCCTTAGTAGCTCAACACAGATGCACAAGCTGCAGATATGTTCATGAAGCCACTACCAACCACTCTGTTCGAGAACAGCAAGAAGATGCTTGGAATGAAGGACAAGAAAAATATTTAAGTTTATGGGGGGATTTTGTTAGGTAAACATTAAATGCATGTAGTTGAGAGGTAGTGGTTATAGAGGAAGTAGTTGTATTGAATATATGTAGTTGAAAGGTAGTAGTTGTATTAAATACATGTAGTTGAGAGGCCATATTCAAAGACCTATAAATTGACCATGTACCACACTCATTGCAAAACACATCAAGTGATAATATACATAATATTTTATTTAGATACTTGTTTGTCAACATTTTTCTCCTTTATTTTATACAAAAACAATTATGAGCAATAAAAGTTCTAGCTTAATTATCTCATTTTTTGCCAGTCATGGCTATTCTTTAAGTGGAATCTATGAATCCTACCAACCATGTTCATATTATCTAGGCTTTTTCTATAATAAAAGTTAAAGGTTTCTTTATGAACAGCAATTCTCCTTTATGCAGATCACAGAAAGATTAGTACAAGTTTGACTTTGAATTTTTTTAAAACTAATTACAAATTCTTATACTCACAAATGTGAAAAACTTTTTATATATTGATACACATTTGAAAAAAAGGAGTGTATGATTGAAAAATAATTAATGTAAGTAAATGAGCGAATAGTAAGACACTTTTCTTGTTAAGAAAAGCAATGAAAAAAAAATCATTTTTTAATGTAACAGATTTTTTTTTCATGTACAAGTAAAAAAAATGAAAAATATAATAAATTATTATTTTATAAAATTATCCTATTTATTTTTATGTTTATAATATATATATATATATATATATATATATATATATATATATTTAATTACTACTTTAATAAAATATCATAAATATAAAGACAATTATAAAAATTAAATGAACAATTTTATAAATTTATTATTTGTTTGATATCATTTTATTAATTTATTTTCAAATAATTTTAAAAAAATATATTAAAAATATTTTATAACTATATATCAATATATATATATATATATATATATATATAGTTTAAAATTATTACTTTAAAAAAATATTTTATTAATAAAAATTAATTAATATAGGTAATTTTATGGTTAAATAAATATTTAATTTTAATTTAATTATTTTTTTAAAATAAACATTTTTATGCCTTTTTTTTCTTTTAGAGAAACAATAATATCTTCAGTTTTATTTTTATTTTCATGTTTTAATATTTTTTTACACTTTTTTTTGTACCAAACATATTGAATAAATCAATTAAATAATATCACCATGTGGACCCTGTTGCTTGTGCTTATAAAACTGAAAATAATTCATCAAATCACTATATATGGTAATTCCACGTGTTTCGGGTGGGAACATGTTCAATTGATGCATGATTAGTGTTGTTCTTCAACTGGAGACTTTATTCTCCAAACGTAGAAAAATGAGTCAATATGTCTTTTTTGCTGGATATATCTATTGTCATTATTGAACTTTATATGTTACATCAAACATTCAACAATCCTATCACTAGCATGAGCCAAGAATTCTTCTAAACTTTTTTTAATGGATGTGTTAAGAAAGTAGGATTATAATTGTTTGCCAGGTACAATAGACTAATTTACCTAGAAGAATACTAATAAATATGATTTAAATATATTTTTACTGATTTTTTATTTATTAAATATACAAGATATTAAAATATTTCTGATATATATATATTTACCATCTTTATAAATTGTTTATACAGAAAATTTGTAAAATGATATAACACAACTGACAAACAAAAGTGCTGACAATTATCACTTTGGAGGATAATTGAACAATGATAAGTTTGGAAAGGATTGTTGACTATCCACGATGACAATTCACATCCAAGGAGAACATGAAATGTTCAATCATTTTAATTGAAAACAGATTTCCTGTCATCATGCAAGTGGTCAGTGATGAATAGACATCTTAAAAACAAGATAATTTACATCCTAAAAAAATCTCTCCCACAACTACCAAATTGGCCAGACCAACTTTTAGGAATATTGTTTCTTTAATTAAACCATAATCATTTTTCATTCAATGAAAAAAAAAAAAATCTCAATGCACTTTCGAATAGTTAAAGTTAGAAATTATAAATATGCATAGACATCTTTCATACTATAACCAAGACTAATATGCAAGCAGGTTGGTTGATTAATATATATATATATATATATATATATATATATATATATATATATATATATATATATATATATATATATATATATATATATATATATATATATATATAGTATAATCTGTAAGCACAATAGCAATTCTGATTATGTTGAGTAAACAAGTCTATGCATGTTAAGTAAAAATTAAAATTGTTTTTGTTTATTTAGAATCTAGGCCACCTAATCCCAAGTAAAATTTCTACCATTTTAATTCTTTTTTCTGTTGCGTGATTTATGGATGTTGATGTTTAGTTTTTGTGGTCATATATGGTATAAAGCTAGAAAATTAAATAAGAAACTTTCTAAGGCTCCAATGCGAATGGTTGTAAGAGAATTTCTCTCAGAAAGAGCTTGAGTAAATAAATAATTTTGTATGGATCCTTTGTTTCTGGTCCCGCAAGTCTTAAGACATCAGTATAGATGAGTTCAAGTTACCTCATTAAAATACTTAAGGACAGAAGAATATTTGTCCATTTTAATTTACAGAAGGTAGATGTAGAGCAAGAATTGGAATTGTCCACGCATATAATAACATCAAACAAATATCCAATCGATTATCATGCAAATTATTCAAAAACGCACCTAGCCATAATTTATTATTGAGCAAGTAACATCGAAGAGCAGAACAAAGACAGGCATAGGAAGAAACAAAAACAATTTAGTTACATATTTCCTTCTCATAAAACATGCACAGGGAGGGAAATTTTGAAACCACTATAGGACCATCTTGTGCCAAAGCTGTTAAGGCAGTTGTAAGTAAAAATGGCCTTACTGATCAGCTTTCACAGGATTCGCCTCTCTCTTTGGAGGATCCAAATCTAGATATGTAAATGGTTCTGTTGGTTCCTCACTGCAATAGCCACAAAACAAATGTCATACGTATGAGGTAACTGGAAAATTTGGATGGGGAAAGGAAAGCCATGACAAGGCATGCAAATACCAGTAAACTTCAGTGTAGAACCACCCCAAGCAGTAGTTGATTTAATCCTTAGAAGGGCAGATCCTTTGCTAGTAATCATACGCATACACTTACCTTCTCTTTCATCCTATTTTCACTCCATTTCCTTCTTATTTTTTTCTTTCATTCGTACCACAGGTAATTCTCTCTTTCTTCCTTTTCTTTTTTTCCCTCTCTCCCATCTACCTACATAAACACCCAAAATGGGGTGGAATACTCTCTGATTAAATCCTCTCCGTGTTTCAAGTACTGGTGTTGTAAATAATATAATAATACAAACATACGTACACATACATAGAGAGGATCAAATTACTTGCAAGAATCTCTGAGTTATGCCTCTTCCTCACTCTAATGGATCAAATTAATCTTATGAGTCTAATAAGTAACTTTTACTAATTGTTAGATTAAGAGAAAATGAAAAATGAGGATGAATAGTAACTTTATTAGAAAATGAAAAGTGAGGATGAGTAGTAACATCAAATAAGCATGGGCTTTAAAATAGTGGTTCCGTGATTCACACCTATCTAGCATGCATGTCAGCCACTTTTTGAACACTCAAAATTTCCTAGTTTTGTTTAATCTCTCTACATCTTTTTTTTTTATAAATTTTTACGATGAATTATAAGGAAAATTGCACTCATCTCTCTAAAAGTCTTCTCAACTAGTGATCACACTCTAGTTTGTAAATTGAACACCCGTGCAAGATAATATACTCTATTAACGGAAGGTACTCAGACTTCTTTTACAACTCTTCATCCCACAATTCCAGAGAAGATAAAAGAAGTTGTACATTGCAGATGCAGGGCAAGGGCTATGTCGTGAACTCTTTGGATTCTCAACAGTTCTGCTACGTATTGCAATTTGCAAGCAATGTGTTTGCTCTTTCTTTACAATGCATTCATATCTCTATTCGTTACATGTAAACCTCACAAAAAGAGATCAATACAATTTTCCCTAAATTACAACATTTTATTATGTTTACAATGATTTGAGCTCACTTCTAAAACATAGATTCTCTCTTCTATATTTTATACTAATTTTATACATTGTGTTACATCTGCTCACTATGCCTAGTATAATTTGTCATATTCCAGTGTCTTATAAAGCGTCATATCCATGTCCCTTCTCATATTTGTGCTCCCCAGATTATATCCACCCACAGCAATAGTTCTATCAAAGCTCAATGATGAATCCATTCATAAAATGAGACATCTTAAAACAAGATATAATTGCAAAGTAGATGATAGTCTCACCCAGGTTTTGAACGCATGCACTGCCAGAAGAGCTTGAAAGGTCCCGGGACAGTCTTGAATGGGTTTCCCTCAAAGCAAGCCTACAAACCACCTTGATTCAGGACCTAGAGATAATAATAATTATAACAGAAAGATTTCTCCAAATAAAAACACATGAAAAACAACACAAATAAAGAAAACAAGCTAAAGTGACCACAGATCCCAAATCACGTAAGCAGTTTCTTGAGGACCAGTCTAATGTCATAATTAACCTAGTAAGAGATATCACATCTCATTCTAGTGCTCAAAAAGTATGCCCTACAAATTTTCTAGAGTATTTTAAGAATTTCAAAGTGATGTTTGCCTATTTGGATCGTTAGTAGATGCTTATATTAAAATCCAAAATGACAAAAAACACATAAGGTAGAGTATTGGGTAGAAGAATAAATAAAGTTGTCAAACTCGTAGAGCTGTCAGTAAACTAATATAAAGAATATTAAAATATATAAAAAATACCTTCAACTCAACAAATATAAAAAATATATTAAAATATCATATAAATAACATAATAATTCAACATTATATTAAAAAATCCGTAATGTATTTTGTTATAAATAATTTTTTATATTTTTTACTGTATTACTACTATTAGATGATCATACTATATATATATATATATATATATATATATATATATATATATATATATATATATTTTTTTTTTTTGAAATATTATTCTAATATTATTATACTTTTACCATTACTCTTTAATTGATTATATTATATATTATGTTTTACATTTTAAAAAAAATTGTTGGACTTAAACTAAGGGCCAACAATCCAAAATAGGAGTAAAAAGAAAAATTAGGCTGTTGCTTCCTGCAATGTGACTTATTCTCGCTGCATCCCCCAGAAAATCCAAATACCAAAACTGTCCTTGTGAGTTTATTTTACTGGTGTCAGGTGGGGTGTGCGGTTTGATGTATTCATTTTGGCACTTTGTTGTGGTTTATATAAAAAGAGTGGAGGAAGACTTGGATTGGAGCTTAGTTGTTGTATTGAGGTAATTGTGTGTGTTGATGGTGTTTCTGAATGGGGGCTTCTTATAAAAGGGGCCGCGGGGTGTTTATGAATTCATCGGGAAACATGATTCAGAGGTGGAGGTTTCCGGTAAGCCAATATCTATATTCCCGAGCTTGGTATCCTGATGTGTATTTGAACCTTCAGGAATCCCTAATTGACATTCTGGATTAGTGTTTCCCGAATAACACCAGTGTTAAGGTGTAAATTTCGGATCATTTGTTCAGATCACTACCCACCTAACAGTATATCTTCCAGATTTGTTGTTCTGGAAAACCCCTAAAATAAAAAATCTCCTACAAAAGCCTCAATGACCTAGAAACAAACAAATCGAGTGTCGTTTTTGCTTTTTTCTAATGCCCAACCGAGCGAGTTTATAGTTTATGTGAGTTTACAACATTAACTAGGTTCGAGGGGGGATGGGAACATAAACTCGTACGATTTTACGAATTAAGTTACGATTTTGCAAGCCAATTGATGAAAGCTGGAAAGGGGAAAAGGAAAACCTGGATAACATCCTCGACACGATCATTGCAACGGTGAGCTTTGGGTTCAGGATGATTGTCTCCGGTCACTCCCCATGGACTCTCTCTCCTCGGCACCGGCCTTGACTCGCTGCTCATCTTTCCTCTTCTCTTGTTCGACTCTTCACTTCCCCAACTTAACACCACTCTGTAAACAATTTCACTTGTTCACCCCAACTTTCAGTTGTTATTCAAATATTTATATTTTAAACTTTTTCATTTTCAGAATATTATAAATGCATTCTGATTTTTTTCATATTTATAATATTTTGAAAATTAAATTTTAGAACCTCCATCACAACCTAAAATTATTTTCAGTATTTAGTTTCTAAAATGTTATAGATATATTTCGAAAAAATAATTTCATAACTTATATCAACGATCAGAAATACGTTCCATATAAATTAGTTTATGGAAAAAATATTGAAACAAAAATGTATATATCAGAAACGTGGAAGAAAGTGTATAATTGAGACGTGCGAAAAGCAAAACCCTTTTAGAATTGGACATCTCAAGACCAACAGAAGCCCATTCTTTTTGGGTAAATTCTTTGCGGAAAAAATTTGCTTTTCGCACTTCCTTTTTAACGATACACAATTTTATACCTGATATAAAATTTCATTGTTTTTCTCAATGTATGTGTTCTCCATGAGAGATCACACGATTAAGATATATAAATCATTAGGTATTCTCTGTCATAAAAGCTTAATGAATTTTATTATTTTCTAACATTCCAATTGGAGAAATTTTCAACCAAATAACTATTACATCTCATAATACATCATTTTTATTTCCATCAAGCATTAGAAGTACTGTAATATCCTCAATCAATCATTCTTAAAGTAATGTTTTAAAAATAAAAACGATTTGAAATTCTGAATTGATGAGTTATTTTCGAACTAGCAGATAATAATTAAATTATATAAATCAATAACTAAATAATTATGATTGTTGGTGGCAATCCCAATTTTGTAGTATGTCTCTTTTCTTCAAGCCAAATTTTAAAACACTGTCAAATACTTGAATTAATCACAACATTTGGTAAAAAAACATACAGTGTTTTTTTTAATGTTTTGATTTGATTATTAAGTGTTGTCCATCAATAAGATGTATGTAATTTAATTTTATATTTTTTAACTTTTAATTTTTATTTATAATTACCTAGATTAAATGTTGGTTTTGATCTTTTTATATGATCCTACCTAAAATATGTTTAACTAATACTTTTTATAATTTAATTACGAATAATCTTTCTGAGTTTAATAAAATATAAATTGACTTCTTTAATGTCTTAGGCTCTTTTATAGCCTGACTTTGTCATGTATAGAGAGCATTTTGAAAAAGTATTTTTGACTATTTATATATTATTTTTGAATATATATATATATATATATATATATATATATATATATATATATATATATAATGAATGCAATAATTATATTAATGAAATAGACTAGAATGATTAAAACTAGAAAAATATATCTTAAAAAAAACAGTACGTTTTATTAATATTATAGAGATTATTTTAGTAAATTAATTCAATTTTTAATCGGAAACAAAGGGAGTATATAACCAAAATATAGTATAAATTAATTGAATTTAAGAATGAGTTTGATTTTGTGTATATATACTATTATAATAAAATAAAATTAGCCAATTAAAAATTATGTCATTATTCCAAAAGTTCATAAATTTATCATAAGCGTCAAACTATGAATGAATAATAGTGTATAATTTCTTTTATTGTGTATGAATTTTCCTTAAAATATAATATTTTGTTTTTGTAAATATAAAAATAGGAATATGCATAAGAGGGATTAATTCATCTAAAAGTTACACCCGAATCATTATTAAAAAAACTTATTGTATAATTTTATCACAAATCTATAACTAATATTAATAAAAATTATGGTATAAATATACTTATAATATCTTATATTTATCTAATATCTACATAAACTAGCATAGTTAATAAGACATAAACTAATCAAATTTTAAGCCATATGACTTTTTTTTTTCTCTGCATATCTTCTAACTCTTATATATAAACTCTTCATTGAAAGTAAACTTTATCCATCCAACCATCATTAAGTTTAAAGTTTTTATAATATTTAGTCACATATTTATGGATTTTAGTCACATATTCAGCTACCATTAAGTTTAAGTATGTTTGTTTTTTACTTAACAATACTCATTAAAACGTAAATATAGAGAAAAACAAGAGTGATGTAATAAGAAAAGTAGGGATGACAAAACGGGTCAGTCTGTCCCGTTTTTGCCCGCCCCGCTTTTCGCGGGGCGGGACCGGCTGACCCGATATAGTCATGACGGTCGTAGACCTTGACCCACCCGCTAAGGCGGGTTGCGAAGCTAGCGGTTGGCTCGCCATAATTTAGAAAAAAATATTTTTTTAAATAATTTTTTTTAATAAATTTAATAATAAGATTATTATTTGTCAATAATTCAATATATATATATATATATATTATTTCAATTTAATAATATAAATCAATACATTATTTTAAGAAATTATAATTTAGAACAATAATAAAATTTACATAATAATAAATAATAACAAATATATATATATATATATATATATATATATATATATATATATAAATAACGTTAAACTTATAAAATTTATATTTTTTATATTATTCTTGGTTGAGTAATTCTTACAACTTTAATTCAAGTAATAAGGATAAAAATAATCGAGTACTTAGGATAAATAAGGAGAACAAGAGAAGATTATATTTCGGGAAGGAGAATATTTTACGTGAGAATGAAACTTTTTTAATTCTCTTTTTAAAATTTTTAACTTTATATATTATTTTTGTAATTAATTTTATTACAATAAAAAATTATTTTTTTATTAATTAGGTGGATCTATGGACTGGTCCGCCTTGTCCCATGAGTTGGCCAGACCAGATTGGCAGGGCGGATCAAAGAGGGTCAGTGGGCTGAAAACATCAACCCGCCACGCCATATTATGGCGGCTGCCACCTAGCCTGTTTTGCCATCCCTAAGGAAAAGTAGTTTAGAGATTGAAAAGGTATTAAAGATATAAAAAAATGGATTTAGAATAAAAATAGTTAAAAAGTTTATACAAGTTGTTTTAATATAAAAAATAGCATTATATATGTGATTGATTCTCCCAAACATTTATTGTTAAAAATAAATTAAAACATATAGGTTATTGAACATTTATGGTAGAAATAAAAAGTAGAAAATAAAATAAACCATGAGAGATGAGTTGGGAAATTGGAAGGAACATTCATTTGAAAACCTTAAAAGGTTGAAACAGGTGTAGTGATAGTTTAACCACTACACCGAAGGTGCAAACTGGTGCTTGAGCTGAAACACAAATAGGAACAATTGAAGAAGGAACATGAGAGGTTACGTCAAAGCTACAACCTAATAATAATAATAATAATCGAAAAGGCTAACACTAGCAACTATAAATATGCAGTCTTGGAAGGTGAAGAGAAGAAGTATGGTCTTGATTGATTTAAGCTCTGATAGCATTTACTGTTTCCATGGAAGTCAATTCCCGAACCTTAATCCTCTCGTGTTCAGTGCTGAGAAGGGATCATGCAAGGTGCGCTCTTGACTTCTCATCCTTTTTTCTATAAGCCGAATTTCCCATCACCTCCCCTTTTCTCCAAAATGCAATGCACCCCTTTATCCTTCTTCTAAACTGCATCCAAGTTAACCAATAAACAAACCATTCATAAAGAGACAGAAAGCGAGAAATCAAAGAAGAAAATAAGACCCAAAAGTAAGCATAAAGTCAAGTATAACTACCCTCAGTACACTACAAAGCAACCCTATATACCTTGGTAGATAAGATAATGGTAACAAAATTGCAATGCATGACCATAATATATCTCCCAAGTTTCGAGCATCATAAATGACCGAGTCAACGAACATTTCAAAGTAAAATACAATACAAAAAGGAAACTGTATAATGTTTAGATAGGAGTGTTAGTTTTGTTCTTACCGACCCTTAGGTCAAGCAACTTCACCAGATAAAGCAGCCTTGATTCTCTCAACAGTGCAGGCAATAAGATTGTTAACAGTGGCAACAGATCCAAGAGAGAGCTTTGCCGTCGGAACTGAATCAACCAAGATTTGGAAGGCCACTGTCAAGAGAGATCCACCATGTCCAGTGTCACCAATGCTTCCTCCATGTGCAGTGGTCCCATCTGGGAGAATAGCAAATCCTGAAGGAAGAAGGGCCACATAGTCAGGGTCCCCTCCATTCAGAACCACATTCATTGCCACAATATCTACAGGAGCATATATCACAAATGACCCCGTTGAGTCTGCGCAACTCTCTTGCAATATCAACATGTTACTCTGGCTTGAGTTCGCACTCTGCAACATTGTAAACATTAATGCTCGTTTCACTTAGTTTGACTATAGAAATTAAAAAAGAACGGTTTCATGAAATTGATGAATAGTAAATGTGACTATTAGGTTTGGTCAACATACATTCACTCGAAGTAGAGAGACACAATTTCCAGTGTCTCGTCCATTGGCAATGTGCGCCATTTCTTGGACTACTCCACCGTTGGAAAGAATATCCCACTGTTTTCAAAGGGTTGAAAAAGTTAGATGAATCATCAAATAAACAAATTTAATTGAGATGAAGAGATAATACTAATTGAATGACTACATATATATATATATATATATATATATATATATATATAATTTTTTCTAATATCATTTAGTATTCTATTTTGTCTACAATATTAGGTGATTTAATTTATATCTTCCTTTGGAATCTCCAATTAACCTTCCATTTACTAACTCCTTTTCTATTTATTTTTTTAATAAAAAGTCATAGGCATTCCATGCTATGTAAAATCTTGATTGAAGAGCTGTGAAAAGAAGGAAGACGTACTATTTATGTTATATGATGAAATAATAAGAAATGAATTGATTAAAAGACCATTTTAAATGTGTATTTGCAATATATGATCGTCCATATATAATTATTATTGCTATTATTTATTTCAAAAATTAAGGATGATTTAGAGTAATAACATGGATATAATATCCAAAAGACTACAAATTTAATTTACCGAGGAATAATATATCTGATTATGAGTTAAAATTGATTTGTGAAAAGTCATATGCCAAATGACATGAAATAATATGAATGAAGTTTGATGACCTACATGATCACTTGTCTTGGGCAATTTGAAAGGGATGTGGGCAATTTGAAAGGGATGTGTGCAATTCAAAGTAATTGATATGAGATAACTGAGTTTAGAAATTTGACGTATGATAACTTAAAATTATGAGTACATATCAACATAGAGAGATACATCACACACCAAACTAAGCAATTTTACCAAATGAAGAATAATGTCTAGTAACCTATGAGCACACAATAATGCAGGCTAGAACATTCGATAAGAAGACAATCATTGGTGCATAATTGTTGCCTAGTTTGAATACGTCAGTAATGCATGTTACCTCACTTCTGGAGTTCTCATCGCGGAGGAATTCAAAAACCCTTTTTGGTGACACTGGGAGCCAAAAAGAAGTTGCAGCACTGAGAACAATGCCAGGAGGCCTTCCTGGATCATCTACACTTTTACGTGTCATGACCCTTACATCATCAGCTCCAGTTCCAGAGAGCGTTGTCCATGTGTGTGCTGTAGATGCACTCACTCCAGCGCAAAAGCTTATAACCATTCTCTCTGCCAGTTTCAGCATACTCTTCCTCCCATCTTGGTTTGTTATCACTAATTAAGCACATTAGAATATTTGTAAGGACATTTAGTCAATTAAGGACAAGGTTTATATCACGTAAAAAATTAAAAAGAATGTGTGAAATGAATTCACTGATATATACCACCAACATCTACTGTGGGAATGTTTGTGGCCATGGCACTAGCAAGCCTCTCACATTGTCGATCCAAGGTTGCAATCCAACGTTTTGCACCAAATGCATGCCCAGAGCTAACAAGCTGCTTGTATAGATTGTGAACGCCTCTGTCATCCACTTCAACATGCTCAACCCATATGACCTAGAACAAAGTTTAGCTTCAAGTTAAGCCACATTAATTATCAGACTCAACAAGGCTTATAAATAATTCCTCAAGGATATCACATGATCCATGATGAGGATTCAAACACGCTAGTTAAAACAAAAATAAAAATGGTAGCATCTAAATACCCTTTAAAAACGATAGAAGAATTCTTGCTGACGTGTTATTTTTTAATTGTGAGATATAGAAAGATGACTGATGGATTTCATTCGCCATGATCATATTTGTATCTAACCTTTGAGTAGCCATTGGGCATTTCTTGAATTAAGCAACCTGAAGGCCTTCTTCTACATCTGGCTGAGGGACTAGGACGCAAATTATCCAAGGACACGTCCACTACAGCCCAAGTCCCGTCCCCATGCTGCTTACAATACCTTACAAAATAGCTCTCTCGAGTTGGCACCAGAGGTGAAGGTACTTGTACTTCTGCTGTCATCTGCATAATAATATAAATTGACATGTATTTTTATTTTTATATTTATATATGAATCGTTGACAAACAAATTGTATGCACTAAATTTCACTATCTATCACATAAGAAAATGGACGCTGCATTCTATAAAATACAGTACCACTTGCAGTGCACCGTTGTAGTTCCCCGCCACCCCTGTTGATAACACCTCCAAAGTCATTGCTCTTGAAACAATGCCAGAGAACACTGTGGACCATTGGTTCTTAAAAGCACAACAAAATATATATTAAGTGTCAGAAACCATAAATCAATTTTTTGAAGGATATCTAAGTAAAACAATGTGAGATAAGAAGATAAGCAGGCCGAAATTAGAACATATATATCTTGTGTTGTGAGATAATCAGACTTGGTTAGATATCAAGAAGAAATCAACTAAAATAATTGATCTGGGCTAAACTATGTAATACATTCCCGTATACACGTACCACGTCCATGAGAATCTCAACAAGGCTAACATGGTTCATGATAACAACAGCAGTTTCCCGTGAAGCTTCACACTTGAAACCAGCGGGTTTAGGACCAATCCCTCGAGGAAAAGACCTGATGTATTCATCCTCGTTGAGCACATTGGTAGTGCCATCCAGGGTAGTCAACCAAAGAGGCTCACCCATTTGCGCCATTCCAATGAGCTCCTCCATGGCTGCAACAGCAAGCTCTATTATGATGGGCTTATCAGCTTCAGTAGGTCCAGTGATTGACCTAAGAAGATCTCCTGCAGCTCCACCATACATGTCCCCACCAATGCCCGCAGGCTGGCCACTAAAACCACCTCCAATCCCAAGCTCAAGTGGCCGCGGAGGAACAGATGAAGGAGAAAGAAGTGGATAACTCACCACAGGCTTCCCCACGTACTTTGCAGCAATCGCAGAAATCCTATCAATCTGAACAAGAACACCAACATATATAAAAATTAACTAAGAATATGTAATTAACTAGACTCTTGATCTTACCGCCAAAATATTTTATGAAAGACAATCATGTTTAAGTGTAATATACTTACACAAAAGATGCCAATCTAAAACCTTATTTAAAAAGAATCAAACATTTACCCCCTAAACCAACCACAAGTTTACATAATTTTTATTAGGATTTTTTTAATTTTATTTCTCATTTTTATAAATAATTATGAAAATACCATTCTATTTAATTTATTTCTTTTAAGATTTGTTTAACAAATAGTATAAAGGATAGAACCATGTTTTTGTTATTTTTATGCAATTGAAGTGATATTTAAGATGATATTTTGTTAGTTTTATATACAAAGAAAAGGTTTCTGAGGATAAATAGTCCTTGTTATCTTGCTACATCTACCACGCTGTAAATGTAGAGCAGCTTCCAAATTGTGGTACCTCTTCTCTGAGGCGCGCATTTTCAAGCCTCAAGTGATGTTCATCGAATGACATTTCCCCTATAGCGGTTGGTCCTCCACAGTTAGGACACGAAGCATTGCTTAGAGCTTCCCTGAACCTCATGTTATCAGCTCGAAGCTTGTCGTTTTCAGTTCTGAGCTGTGTGTTCTCATGGCGCTCATGTTGGGTCTGCAACGCGAAGCATCGCATGCTTAAAGGGTTCCGCCTTTTCACTTTTCAGCCAAAAGAAACAAAAACCAAAACCACGTGTGTACCTTTATCTGAGTGCGCTTGTTCTGGAACCAAAACTTAACCTGCAATGGCTCTAACCCTAACTCTCGACTCAGCTCCTTCCTTTGCTTGTCATCAGGGTGCGGACACTCCTTAAAGAAACTAAAGAAAAAGAATCAACAAATTAATCTCAACAACTGTCACGGGTCTGTTCCAGTTTATCAATAGTCTCAAATTTGAGTCCTAATGAAATTCAAGCCCTAAGTTTCCACTCATGGTTTTATTGGGCTGCAACAGGATTGTCAGTCGGGTTCTGTACCCAATGGCGTTAAATTAAAAAATGAGTGTATTTTGGGTGGCTTACGCTTCCATTTCCTGGATCTGGTGCTGAGTGTGGCGGTGGTAGCGTTTCTTCTTGTTGGGACGAGGGTCTTGGTCTTCACCGGAAGCACCTTCTTGGTTTTCACTTCCTGACTTGGTGGCACTGTCAAAGTCATCTTCACGGATTCTTGGGACATCGCTCTCTGAAGTGTTCTGAGGCATGTCCAGTGGGAGAAGCTGACCAGCTTCCATCAAGTTTGGCTGGAACATTTCTACAGATCTTTGAGATTCCGAAGCCTTATGACTTTCAATCTAACAATACAATAATACGAGGTATATAGTACAGTGTAGTACACACAAAGAGACAACATATATATAATTAAAAGAGCTGCAATGGAAACGCCTTTTTTATTTTTTTTATTATTATTGATTGGTGTCTAATTCACATGTATAGACACATAGCTAGGGGGACTAATTGTTGGGATAATTTAAATTATTTGGTATAAGAGTTGTGCAGAAAACACGGGGATTTTGACTAGGTTGATGGTTTTTGGGGAAAGTGAGCAAGTAGATTCAAACAGTGAGAAGGAATAACGCGTTTTACGAATAACGAGAAGGATACAACAGAGAGAGTTTGAGCTGGCTTGGCTTCACACTGAGACCAATTTTGACTCGTGAAAAAACAAGGCCCCTTTTGAAGGATAAAGTCAATTTGAGCAAACCCAACACATCAATCAAATTGGCATCAGAATCAGAACCGAATTTTGACAAAAATGGGGGTAAATTCGAGAGATTGGAAGAAGCAGAAGCAAAATTAACAAAGGCATCAAATGACGAAGGCAGCACACTGACCTGACCAAGAGAGAGCCCTGAAGATAATCCAAAGCCACCAACGTTGCCGTTCCTTCCGATCATCGAGGGCATGTTTCTTGCTGGAATCATAATACCAGCTGGCATATTTCACGCTCTAGAGAATTCAATTCTCTCTCTGGTGTCCAGTGTTGTGTTGATCCTCTTCTACCTTTTATGTTGAAAAACTTCACAGGAAGGGTTTCTTCTTAGATTCTGCCAAGGTCACTTCAAAAAGGAAACATGCTAACATAATAAGCCAAAAAACTCAGGCACAGAAACGTGTCTTCGAATGTTTAATTAAAAAATGAATAATAAAATGCATCGTCTATATGCTACATTAAAATGCACAGAAACAAAGTGTTGACAATTTTCTGATACTGCAAAATCAGACAACTAGAATCAGAAAGTAAATAAATAAAAAAAAAAGCCAAGGAAAGATCTCGGGGAATCCAACTATGTTCCGTCTTCTTTTTTTTCATAGTTATATATATGGCAAACCCACCTTTCCTTTCGCATTTTAGCAACCCTAACTAGCTAAATGCACAAAAAAAAAGTAAGAATTTAGAAAGAAAAAAAAAATATATTAACACCATGAAAGATTGCAGTATGGCGAAAACAATGATTTTTAAGCTGTGTGACTGATTTACCTACCTTATATGAAATCAACACGTACCAAGAGTTCTCCTGCACTTACCAGCGGATGGTAGTTGCTGGAGAAGATAGCTAGGTAGAAGAAGATGAGTATTTAGATCTGCGTTTAGCTAAGCTTGTTGCCAAAAAAGGGACCCTTTTCAAGGATGCATAGGAGAGAAAAAGGCTTCAAGGAAGTTATGGAAATAAAGTTGCTTATATATGGCAACCATGGAAAGCTTGATGGGTGTTGTGATGGCAAAAAGCTTGGTTTGAAGGGAGAAAGAAGAGGAGAGGACAAAGGAATTGAAGGAGTAAAGAAAAGGAAGAGAAAGAGGGAAACAGTTGGAGAAAAATGTGGCAGCGATGAGTTATTGCTGAGGGTATTGAGATGGTGCAATTGCATTTAATGGTGAGGGAAAGAGGTGTAATTGCCAGTGAATGAGAGAGAAAGAAAAAGATAGAGAGAGAGTGACATTTTTATTTTGTGTAGGAAGTAGTAATATTTTGCTTTGGCAGAGTTGATGGTGCAACGAATGACGGCTACCAAACTTCTTTTTATTGCTCCTATCCATACTTCATCAACTTTTTCACATACTCTACCAGAGAGAGATACTGTGACTGCATACTTGGTGAACTTATAATTATAATTTTCTCATATACTGTGTTATGGTAAACACAAATTGGTTTGTGATTGAACACAAGTCTGTTGACGTGTGAACACAGAGAGGTGATGCTAGCCTGGACTTTGAAAACGCATCCGCATGTTATGTCGTAGGAAATTTTGTTGACTTGGTTATGCTGCATTAATGAAAAGATGTTATATATACACACAAACTAATATTAATGGCAACAGGTTCCGGAGAAAATGAAAAGGTTAAATGGTACTGTATGTTATAATTGTTTGAGTTCCAAAAAAGTACATGTGTAAATGATCTACTGTAATGTAACAATTGAATTAATGGTTTAAATTTTCTTTGTACAACAATATTTTTATCTTACAAACAAATGTGATGATGTTTTTAATTTTCACAATAGTTGCATCTTTTCCTTTCTGATTGGTATTTTTACTTAGCCATGCATTTCGATTTCATATTTATTCTTCTTTAAGGGACCATGGTCCATGACTTGATAATTTGTTATTTGCATTACATCATCATCCATTTTAATGGCATTGGGACAACCTTGACTCTACGTTTGATTCTTTTTCCCATAATACGTGGAACATGTCATGACATCATATATATTTTAACAGATGGTAATGGTCTTTTGGAACAAGAAAACTAGTTTGTTTCTCTTTTTTCTTTTAATTATAGTTGTAGCCAATTTTCTGAGATGATTCGGATCATATTAAGTATATATACTAACTATTCAGGTTAGTATTCATGTACATATTATAAATACAAAGGGTGTATTTTCTCTAAGTGCGTGCATTTAAACCTAAATATTTGGTGAAATAAATGAACCAAACATAGTTGATGATCAATAATGATTTGGCTATTATTATAACTCTTTCCATTCAACATATAATAACATCGTTGTCAAATATAAAAAGGTTTTATAACATTGTGTTGTAGAGTGTATTTAGCACTTGCACAATTGCTAAACATGTACAAATACATAATGCATTTATTAGATAGTGTTTAAGATAAATATAATAAATTCAAGAAAAACATGTCCAATTTATGAACATTAAGTGATACAAAGTGTAGTATTCTTTTGTTCATATGTAAAATATTGAATAATACTTAATGAAGATATTAAAACAAAGTATTTAATATCTTAGAGTATTAAAAAACATTGATTTTTGTTAACTTGTGCAATAATAGTAATAATATTTATTCTTTAGCCGTCACTTTAAATATATAGCATATAAGATTCATATTAAATATTTTATTTTAAGAATATTAGCATGCACTCTTCTATTTATATAAATATATTTACTGATAAGGATAAATGATTAATACATAAACGGTCAACAATATATTGTCATGTGATCACTTAAAATAATTTGTAAAATAAAAAATAAATTATAATTTACATATTTTAATCCAATTATTTATTATAAATTTTTAATATTTATTTATCTTATTTTCATTAGAAAATACTTTGATATGGTGAAAAAGACAGTATTTTAATTAAATTATTCGCTATACATTTTTAAATTTATTTCTCTTATTTTCATTAAAAATTTATTTTCACTATACAAATTTTGTATATAGAAAAAAATCTTATACATTGTCAATGTAAAAATGTATATACCAGCAAGTATTACTTACGTTCCAAAACAATGGTGTAATTTTAAAATTAAAATAATCTATGTAGTCTTTCCCTCTAATTGAAGTTTTTTTTATGTCCTTACATAAATTATTTTCTTTTTCTTAACATATTTATGACAAGAGTAATGTCATGTAAAAATATTCCATAAAGTAATATATTTATTGCTATTTTTTTAAGTATACAATCATATTAAAGTACAGTTATTATAAAAGGAGTTACAGTACTAAAATTAAACTCAATTTGAAAACTTGAAGAAAGTAATTGAAACTATATATTTTATTAAATTTTAAAATTGAATGCTTAGATAGATTTGTCATATCAAATTTGTCAAATGTAAAGATGTAATTAATAAAATATAATTAAAACTTTTTTTTAAAGTTTGAAATAGAAGAAATTAATATATAAAAAGACTAATAATTATTCATTTAATGAAGTAGTAAATAATTTATATTTCAATATGACAAACATTATTTATCTCCATCCGATAATTATTATAATTGTATGTTTTAATTAAAAAATAAAATTATTATCAGAATCGCTTTATTATTATTATTATTGTTATTGTATTTCTTAACAATAACATAGGTTGAATATGGTAAGCTAAGAAGAAAGAACCCTAAAAAATTTAGAGGGGGGTGTTGACATAGTTGAAGAGTGGACAAAAGATTCCCATTATTATTACTTTCTTCCCTTATTAATGTCTCTGAGCCACGCAAGCTGTCCCTGCACCAATGCAATCACAATACCCATTTACTATCTTCATGTTTATCTCGCTTTTCTCCCTTCTTCTTTTTCTTTTATTATAAATTTTTCATTTTCTAAATTCCAAATATCATATATTTTGTTTTTAAATAAATTTCAAATTTAGAAAAGAGGCTGAACGGCGTAAAAGAATCATTTAAGGGGTTGAACTTCTGCTTTTAAATCCAAATAGTCCTCTCTTAATCTCTCTACATATTTAAATTAAATTGAAAAATCTACTCCCAATTTTCTTCAACACATCATACTTAACTCATTCTTTAGGGCAAAGGTCAAATTTTGAGTGTGATGGAATAAAACAAATAAATATCCGTAAAATTCAATCTCCCCTAAAAGTCTCACATTGAATAAATTTACAGCAAACAATCCATATATAGAGGGAGAGTTGGGGGTGGGCCCAGTAATTTATTGTTTTTATCTGGTTTGGGTCAAACTCCCCTCACTAATTTCTTTTACCATTTTACTTGTAACTTATTTGAAAATATTTATCACCACAACAACATATTATATTAAATAATTTCAATTAACTAAACATTAATTTTTTAAAATACTTTCTCATTCTAGTATTTATTTTGAATGAATGTAAGTTATCTACTGATAAATTATTGACTTGTATTTTAAAATTGTTAAGAATGCATCAAGATTGAACTTAAGTGATTAAAGTATTATTTAACGTGTGCCTTTATTATTGTTGTTTATAACTTGGATTTAAATATATTTTTTATATTAAAAAATTAGAATAATTTATTTTTCTTCTTAATTTAAAATATATATTTTATTTTTTATAATTATAAAACAAATTAGTCTTAGTTCCTAACTACTGGTGTCAATGAAATCATTATATTACATTATAATAAAAAAATAAAAAATCACCCGGACGGGATATATTAGTGGAATAAATATTTGTTATTCTTTAAATTTGAGATTTTCTTTTTCAAAATTATTTTTTTTAATTTTAAAAAATATTTTTATCTCTCATTTTAAAAATATTTTTTTCCTTGATTTAGAAATAATTTATTTTTAAAAGACTGGAGATTAAGAAACCATAACAAAACAATCAATAAAGGCATGTTATAAAAATAAACAGTTGTTATAAATCAATAAAGATAGATACTAAATTATTAATATGTTAATTATAAGATTAATGTCATAGGGGTATTGAACCTAATATTTGTAAGTATCTTTTTAATTTATATATCACTTACAAAACTTTATTGAAACTCAAATGTTATTATATATTTTTTTAAGAATATCTTGAAACTTTATTTTATAAGTTCAAAAACTAAATTTGATAATTAATCATAACGAGTCTAGACTAACTGATTTAATTAAAATTTTAATATAAATTTAATAATCTATAAAAAAAAACCTAATTAAGAAAAAGTAATTTAACTACATTATAAGGTTTAAATCACATCTTTTACATTTCATAATTAAATGGGAAAGTACAATTTAATATTTTGAGAAAACAAAAATAAAGGCAACATTTTTATTTAATATGAATTGGTTTGCATTAGAAATGTTATAATATATATATATATATATATATATATATATATATATATATATATATCTTCATTGTCATATTATAAATTTTCACACCAATTTAATTTTTTTTTCATTAGAAGTTTTATACTAATACTTAAATAATATATAATTTTTTTTATTTTCCTCATCATATCATTGTCACACCAATTTGACCTAAACGTCTAAGTACATTATTTTTTGTTTATGAATTGATTTTTTTTTATTGTAATTTTGTAACAACCAAAGAGCTGGTGATATTGGAACATACCTTAGTTTAAGTGTATGTCAGTGCATAAATAAGTGTTTAGAAAGATGAAATAATGTCAAAAATAAAATTTGTAAGTTTGTGTTAAATAATTTTATATATTTAATTTTTTGTTTAATAGAAAATGATATTTTTAAAGTATTGATTCATCTTTTCATAGATTAATATATCTTTCCTTTTAAACCAAAGATATGAAGATAAAGGTGACCATTTTTTTATTTTTTATAAAAAATAATTATTTTATTATGAATATATATATATATATATATATATATATATATATATATTAATGGTTAATTAATATATAAATAACCAATAACATAAATATACAACATTGTTACTTATTTCATTATCAATATTATAATAAATGAAAACTATTTTAGCCTTAACATAACTAAACACATTTTTAAACATGTGTATAAAAAAATAGTAAAGAAAAATAAAAAATAAAAAATATAAAAACTTCTTGAATTAATGTTAAATCTCTTATTAGAATGTAGATTAAATTCTCTTATTCATGGTTAGTAATATAAATTTAATGGTAAAGACGTAAACAAATGAGTTAGAAGATATCATATAATTAAGAAGGGTAAAGTATTAATGAGTTATTAATAATTTAAATCTACAATCATAGTAAATAAAGTATACACGGTTAATGGGAACATCATGAAGCCGATTTTATGTACATAAGTAATTTCTTTAGCAAATTTATTGAAGTTTAGATATGAATTAAAATTGTTTATATATTAAAAAGAATTAAATGGTAAGGATTTGAATTGAAAAAGATTTTTTTTTAATTGTGATCTATTAATGATCTAATATGAAGTTGATTTATTGATATCAAAATTTTAGAGGTAAGTTTAATTATAGGTTTATACCTTTTTAGCACATAAAGAGCCTTTTTCAGCACAAAACCTTCTCCTCCTTCCCTTTTTTCACATATCCAAGGGTTGTTCAATATACACTTCCGTCTTGAATA